AGATCCCAAGTGCATTTCATATGGGAAAAATTGAGTCTAATGGGCTTATAATAAACAATCTCAGATTGAACTAATGCTAGTTAACAAGAATGATATGTGCAATCAGTCAACTGGATTATTTTCTGTAACGCTTCTTACTCCAAATATCATAAAATCCCTCTAAAGCATCGGGTTTTTCTCAGGATATTTAATTAACAACTTCTTCTCAACTCATAACCATCTAGTGACCTGATCATCCAATGTACACAGCATTGTGAAGGTTGTAAACTTGTATTTACCTGAAAACATCAGGTTTTTGGTCATAATCAACATGACGTCCAGAAGACCCATCTCTCCATCTAGAAGCTGAAGAAGTAAAACGCACAAGAATTATCACAAATTTTTCCAAAATTCGCATGACACGAATATACAGAAGCACATTCAATTGTTGATCTCTTTCTATTTTCCCAAAACTTGTCTAACAAAGAACACATACCCAAACCAAGATCAACAAGATATAACTTCTTCTCATTAGATGTTCCAGGTATACCAAGCAAAAAGTTTTCTGGCTTAACATCTCCGTGCACAAAACTGCAAATCAATAACCATGAACAACATTAGCATACAAAAGTTTAAAAGAAAAAGGAAAATGGAGAAAAGAATCAGTTGCAAGTACCCTCTAATGTGAAGCTGCTCTAGAATTGATATTGCCTCCACTGCTATACAAGCAACCATCTCTTCAGACAGCCTTTGAAGAGAAAAAAAAAACGATATGAGAACAATGTGTTTAATGCATATACTGTAAACTTGGAAGGTGTATCATTTTCAGTAGTATTGACTCTGAAACTTGGAACACAGAAAAAGAGAACCAATTGTTTCTTACAACTGATTGCGAGAATTCCAAACATCCCATAAACTCGGGCCTAGCATATCCATGACCTATATTCACATTGAGAAATAATTATTCAGGAACGGCAAGTATTGGCAATATTTACAAGCTTTGGAAAACATGCCTAGGAAACAAATAATGATAGCAAAGAAACTCACTAGGATATAGTAGTCTCCCTGTTGACCTTTGTAATGGACGAGGGGAAGCCCATAACATCCATTAAGATTGCTGTAATATCATAAAACACTGGTCAGGAAACAAAGATTAGAATTTAACAAAAAATAAGGATGAATAGTGCATACCTGTACACTTGCCACTCATAAGGAGGGCCGTGACTGCACCCTTTACCATTTCTACTCTCAAGCTTCAGAGCAACCTACAATTAGATGCAGAAAACCGCCATTAGTACCACAATCAACTTCCTTGAGAATTTACACAGATATTCAAGAGATGCACTGCAAAGATTAAACCTCATAGGCATCAGCTCCAGTGGCAGTGCACCCTATGCCAGAAGACATCCTTCTTCCCACATAAACTTGTCCAAAACCCCCTTTCCCCAGCTTTCTCTCTAGCTTGTATATGGGAGAGTGGCCAACTTGTACCTGAAAATACAAATTATAGAATCATATACTAAATCACAAAGCTTCAGTAAACAAACTACATAAAGCCAAGCAGGAAGGTGATAAAAATTACGCTTTCTGGAAGTGGACTAGTGCTTCCTTCATCCTCAATAGCAGCTAATTTTTGTGCACCTTTCTGGCCTACCAACTCATCATGAACCGGCACTAAATCTCTCTCTGGAAAATCTAAACCTGTATGCCCTTGGCCACCAACTCCAGCACCAAATAGCTTAGAATTCTTCCCTTGATGCATGGCTCTAGACCCTCTACCCCTACCTTTACCAGTCAGCACTGCACTTGGACACAGAAACCACAGGTTAATTGGATTTTTCAGAGGTGATCTCAAGAGTAGAATGTTGAAGCTATTACCTTTTCCAGCACCAGGCCGTGCAGCTGGAACTAAAACAGCAGGATTGTCCTGGACATAATTGATCCTCTTTGATCGCCGAACACCACTTCTTAAATCTGGCATTCTATGTTCATGCAAATAATCCCCACTTTCCTTCTCCAGCCCCAAAGAATGTCGAACAATTCAAACCTAAGATTCAAACCTAACAAACAAAAAACAATGATTTCAATCACGTGTGACTTATGATAGCAATGGCCCATTTCAATTGAACCCTATACATCGCAGAAACAGAATTTGATTCAGAAAAGCTGCATTGCAAGTTGATGTATGTCCATAAGAAAAATAATAGACATTCAAAACAAAACTCAATCCAACTGCAGCTATGCTAGCATCGATACACAAGTCCATTTAATTTTTAAAAGCAACAACATTCTTGATCTTCAGTTGGCCAAACACCCCGTTACCCATAAGTTCAAAGTTAAACCAAACAGTCTAAAATTCCAATGATTCATTCAAACAGAATGAGACACACATATATCATGTGCAGAGTAAAATCACCACTGAATCCCAAATCATCTAATCCAAAAACCATAAACATCGCACAAAAGTACACATTTTTAACCTGAAAATCAACCAATTTTAGCTCATATCAATCAAACCCATCTCGATTTTGGCACCTATCAGTTAGATGAATCAAAAGAGCCATGCACACACAGCAAGCGCAAAACTCCCTGGAAAACAAAAACAAGAATACCCACATACCAGATTCACACAAAGCGATGCACTTCAATCACAAAAACATCAAAAGAACAAAAGAAAAGGGAATGGATGATATACAGATGATAAAACAAGAAAGAGACGAACTTTATCAAGCACATACCTTATGAGAGAAAAAAAAGTTCATGAATTTGAGAACCCAATTGGATTCTGTGTTTGTTAATACAAGCAAAATCAAGAAAGAATGGGATTTAACTAAATGGGGTTTGTTTCATGGAAGAGAGGCTATCAAAGAATTTGACGGTGGGTGACTTAGGTGGGTCTGAATGTGTAAGAGAGAGAGAGGTGTATCCCCATGGGAAAGACGGTGTAAGCGAACCTGGTGCGTACGATATCTCCATGGCTGACGTGGAGTGAATTCATTGGCGGCGTAGCAACCTTACCGTGGACATTGAGTATTGTATCTGGGCTTAAGTAGTGAGTATGTTTGGGTATTTTGTCGCAGGTGCCAAGGTCAGCAAATTAGTTGTTGGTAAATTCTATTTGGACCTGTTGACACTTGACAAAATATTTTTTTCGACAAAGCTTTATTCATAATATTCAATACATTTTAATTTTATAATACTATTTATCCACTCATGTATATTATCTTTTTTTATTTTAAAAGTCCCTCTCTCTTCTGCTCTTCGGCCAATAGTATCTTTTTTGTGACAATTTTATTTTGTGTTTATATCCAAAACCATGTTAATTCGAGGTTAAGTGAGTTTAGAGATTAATGTAAGATTTTTACATTGAAAAATAATTAATATAAAAGTTTAAACGACGTAGTTGTTATATCATCAAACGATCAGAACTCTTCCCGTTCACTCTTCCTCTCCTTAATGACCCCACTCAATTGGGCCATGGTTTTAATTTTTAAATTCTAGAAAGATTAAAAATGTTATTAAAGCAAAAATAGAAAACTAGGTCATTTGTTTTAGATTATGTTAAGAGGAAGATTTGGTTGCCAACGGGTAGAAAAAGAACATTAACTTGTATATCAGTGGTCTTAGATTTGAACTCTCATAACACATTGATAGTGTGTGTGTGTGACAAACCCCACTTCTCTTGTATTAAAAATTTAAAAAGAGAGAAAAAAAAAAAAGATTTGGTGTAGAGACAATGGATCTCTAGCGTATAAATTATTATATTATAATAATTTAGACTATTATTTTTTGCAAAAAGAAACTTGTTTATTCGTCTCGCTTTTATATATGTCTAGAATTTTAAGACATACCATCTTAAAAAATTTACTTGTTTTGATCTCCATTATCAAGTAAATATATAGGGAGATTCACTATTATACCCAATATAAAAGCCCAAATTATAAAAAACTCTATATGAAATGGATTTTAGAAACACACTCAAAGCCCAAACATAAACAAAAAGGCTTTTAACTTATTTTAAATTACAAAACTGCCATTGATTTATTAAAACAAACCCAACCCCAAAACCTCATAAAAAGACCAAAACACTCAATACGGCATCAAAGTAATTTAATAATCAAAATTAAATTCAATATGACTAGCTATCATTTTGTGAGTTTTTTTTGAATTTGTTTATAGAAATTAAATGGTGTAGGGTTTATTTATAGTTTTAGTGCTAAGAATGAATATATGACTAAATATCTCATATAAGTATCTATAAATTTGCATTGACACCATTTCTATATCTTGAATTTATATTAAATTATTAATTTCAAGCGTCATGATAAATATTAGAAAATTAAAATGATATTGTTTGCGAAAAGTTGAGTATGTGGTTTAGGATTGTGCGAATGTTTTGTTCCAGATCACCATATTAGTGATCATAACCTAACCTCAACTCAAATCCGCAAGGCAATAAAATGACACGTCGTTTTCTTCCATTTTTATTTTATTTTTGGTCAAACGTTTTATTTTTGACCCAATAAGGCCCAAAACAATTACTGAGGCCCACAAAGAGGCTGAATGTGAATAATGAGGCCCAAGTTTGAATGGGTCAGAATTAATTTAAGACTTGCAATGACCAACCCAGAAACAGAAATTGATAAATTTGGCCAAAAGAAAAATAAATAAATGAAAGAACACCATGAATTGGTGGAAAAAAGGATCAAAGAAATGATATTCATTCAGATTCAGGTACAAACTACAAAGGGGCTAGCTGTAAATTCTCCAGGTGAATATAAGGAGAAAAATATACAAAGAATTTGAATTTTATAATCACCAGATCGAATCGATCATGTACACAATAATAATAAGCTCATTGTGATTGGGCTGCCTGAAAATCAGTGCAGCAAATAAGTTATTGCAAGGGCCACCAGCAGAAGAGTGTAAGCAATTCCTTGATCAATCGCCATGCCTGCATTAATTCAACCACAACAAAATAGAAAATTAGACAAAATCATCATTAGCTGAGCCCCAACACTTGAAAACCCATAACAAAAACCCTAAAGTTTGCAAATTTCATTGATTCAAACCAAACCCAACAAAAAAGAATTATGGGTTTTGCATAAGAAGATCAACTTACTATCAGCTGAACCCCAACAATTTCAAAAACCCTAAAGTTTGCAAATTTTCATTCATTCACACCAAACCCAACAAAAAAGAAAAATGGGTTTTGCAGAAGAAGATAAACTCACCAACGCTTGTTGGAGAAAGAGCTGGGGCCTGCCCATAACTCAGGCTCAGCAGAGCCATGAACACAAAGCCGATGATTGGAAGGGCACAAGATCTCATCGAATTCATCCTCAACCCCCAAAAATAAATGAATCCGAACTAAATTAGGGTAATGAAAACTAAGGAAATAAAGGAAAATTATGAGAGATTTTAAGATGGGATGGGGGCTGCGCATACAGTTGGTGTGGTATTTATATAGGTGGAGGGGTGGTGGGGTTTCTGGAAGAACATGGGAACGTGGTGGTACATGTGCGGTTTCTTGGAAAGTGGAGGAGAGAGAAAATGAGTGTCAATTGCGCGTGTGATGGTTTTGGAGAGGAAAAGTACGACTTCCTTGACGCCATCATTTTGACTCCGAGTCGGCGGCTTGTTGACTCGGACTCACCAGAAAGCGGGAAAAGCGAGTCCCTTTTCAAGCAATGGATTGGGTCTCAAGCCCGCCAGAGAAGGCTCAAAGCAGGCTTATACCCACTTGGCCCATGTGTAGGGTTCTTCCAATATCTGTATTTCAAATTAGTTTCGACCCCCTCCATTATTTTCAGAGTATACAATAAAATCTCCACTCATACCGTTGATGTTATTACCAAAAAAAAGAAAAGAAGATTCCATATAAAATTATCTAACTTCTTTTTTTGGTTAATAATGATTTTGTTGCAAACGTGGATCAGACCAGTTGATTAATACGATTCGAATTCCTCATTTTGTATGAAAACATTAATAATACGGTTCGAATTCCTCTTTTTGTATGAAAACATTAATAATAATGATGTTTTTCATGTGTGAGTTGAGTGGATGGCCATGATTGGTTTTCCATGTGAGAGTGGGTGGTCAAAGAGAAGAGAAGAGAATGGTGGTATAGTTTTTTGTTTAATTAAGCGATGATTTAGAATTAGTCTTAAACAGATGCAGCCACTAATAGATACAGTAGGATTTTAATTCCAACCTCTCTCATAAGACAACAAACTTCATGGAAAAGTGCATGTTCTTCTTCTTCTTCATACTGAATTAATTTTTCCATTGAAACGTGGCTCCCACTCCAGCTGTACCACATGACTCAATCAGTGGCAGAAAACCTTAGAATTTTCTGAGTGAAGGAAATCATACAAAAATTGCTGTAAATTAATGTTCCAAAAGAAAATGTCAACGGCTAAGAAGAAGCAACAAAATTTGACAATATATCTTTCTTTTACGCATCTACTACACTATGTTTCAAAAAGGGCAGCTGCTGCTTAGCAACCCTTCTCTGGTTTCTTCCTCATCAGCCGCAAAGACTCCTCCAGAGACAATGATCCTGCAATTAGTAAAACCATTTTGTTCTTGTTCATTATCCCAAAATGTACAATTTAGTCAAAAATGAGAGGATGAACAAAACCTTGGAGCAACAGAAACACACCAGAGAGATATAAACAACAATCTTGCAATGTAATGTTCTGATTGATCCTCTTCGTCGTGGTCTTCTAATCTTTCTGAGCTCCACCTTATACCTCTCTGCAGCTGCTGGATATTCACCATGGTTTCCATTTGGGAACATGTAACACCAGGCTAAGCAGCTCTGCTTTAGCACAGAATTAATTGATTACTTTATTTATGCCATGATGCTTTTTTTTCCCTTTTCAAGAATATAAGTTGGTTTATTGCAAGTGTTTTGCTCTAGTTTTGGAGGAAAAAGTGAGAAAAAAAAGAAGGAAGATAGTGAAGAATATTCTTCAATATTTTTATGCAGAAGCATTGTTTTAGAAACTTCCCTTTGAAGGTTGTTCAAGTACAGATAGATGACTGACATTGTGTTCATGTTAAATTACTAAATTGCTTTGAGCTATTTTCCACTTGCCTTATTTCTTTTAAACTTCTTTGTGCATTCAGATTCATTCCTTTCTGTTTCCTTTTACTACAACTTCTTTTTCTGTTCTTATTCTTACTAAAAAATATAAAAAAATAAAAAAACCTTATTTTCTGCTTCAAGTTTTCAATTGATTTGTCCTCTGCTTATTGCAATATTTCCAAAAAAGCAAACTGCTAGATTGGATATATGTGCACAGGGCCTGACTGTGATAAACGTGGCACCACACAAGCTGTTTGCTACAATCCAAGAAAAGGCAAGACATTTAATTAGGTGAATATATAATCTGACCAGGAACGCCACACAATTCCAAAGCTAGCCAAAGCCTAACTCAGTCCCTACCCCACTAAAATCCCTTCCTTCATGTTGAAGATTTCTCCCCAGGCAAAAATTAGCATCATTAGTTAACCAATCATAGTCACAAACCTACCTAAATCCTCTGTTTAGGTCTCCCAAACCAGCCATGCAAGCATATCAGCAAGTAACTAGTGCCCACAATTAACAAATATGCTAGCTAACTGCCTGACTTTAGAACATATAAAACATCGGTGCTAAAATTGCAGATATTTGTAGCTCAACTAGTTAAGAATCGTTACTCATGCACTCGAGGCTATGTGTTCGAGTCTCCTCGATAAGACTGTATAAATATACATACATATTGCCCCCACTCAGCACAAGACAGGTGTGTATCCGTCTGAGCCAAAACTAGCCTGTACTTGTGTCCAAGTGGCAGAATCAAAGGGACGTGGCAAAACAGAGGCAGCATCCAACCCTGGTTTGAAATGAAAGCACACTATCTATAGCATCGCCTGCTAGATGTTCACCATGGTTTCCATTTGGGAACATGTAACACCAGGCTAAGCAGCTCTGCTTTAGCACAGAATTAATTGATTACTTTATTTATGCCATGATGCTTTTTTTTCCCTTTTCAAGAATATAAGTTGGTTTATTGCAAGTGTTTTGCTCTAGTTTTGGAGGAAAAAGTGAGAAAAAAAAGAAGGAAGATAGTGAAGAATATTCTTCAATATTTTTATGCAGAAGCATTGTTTTAGAAACTTCCCTTTGAAGGTTGTTCAAGTACAGATAGATGACTGACATTGTGTTCATGTTAAATTACTAAATTGCTTTGAGCTATTTTCCACTTGCCTTATTTCTTTTAAACTTCTTTGTGCATTCAGATTCATTCCTTTCTGTTTCCTTTTACTACAACTTCTTTTTCTGTTCTTATTCTTACTAAAAAATATAAAAAAATAAAAAAACCTTATTTTCTGCTTCAAGTTTTCAATTGATTTGTCCTCTGCTTATTGCAATATTTCCAAAAAAGCAAACTGCTAGATTGGATATATGTGCACAGGGCCTGACTGTGATAAACGTGGCACCACACAAGCTGTTTGCTACAATCCAAGAAAAGGCAAGACATTTAATTAGGTGAATATATAATCTGACCAGGAACGCCACACAATTCCAAAGCTAGCCAAAGCCTAACTCAGTCCCTACCCCACTAAAATCCCTTCCTTCATGTTGAAGATTTCTCCCCAGGCAAAAATTAGCATCATTAGTTAACCAATCATAGTCACAAACCTACCTAAATCCTCTGTTTAGGTCTCCCAAACCAGCCATGCAAGCATATCAGCAAGTAACTAGTGCCCACAATTAATAAATATGCTAGCTAACTGCCTGACTTTAGAACATATAAAACATCGGTGCTAAAATTGCAGATATTTGTAGCTCAACTAGTTAAGAATCGTTATTCATGCACTCGAGGCTATGTGTTCGAGTCTCCTCGATAAGACTATAAATATACATACATATTGCCGCCACTCAGCACAAGACAGGTGTGTATCCGTCTGAGCCAAAACTAGCCCGTACTTGTGTCCAAGTGGCAGAATCAAAAGGACGTGGCAAAACAGAGGCAGCATCTAACCCTGGTTTGAAATGAAAGCACACTATCTATAGCATCGCTTTGATTTTGTTAGGCCATGGAGCATATGATGTGGACATGTGTAGCTCTGGTTTGGCTGGCCTCTCTCCACCACCTTAAACTTAACACACACAAAGAATTACACAACATTAACACAAAAGCCTGCCTCGTCAAGAATTAAAGCATCTAAAAGGAAATAGCTTTCCTGGGCATCAATCAAAAAGCTACCTCTTTATGCCAAATAACTTTACTTAGCCAACCCTCCCTCCCTCCTCTCTGCTATAAATATTAATTTTCCTCCTCCTGTCAATTAATTCCTAGCTATATTTATGATGCTCTGTAGCTTTCAGTTTCAGGTTTGAGGCAGAGGAGAATTCGACAGTAAGAAATTATTATGTGTCACCCTCACCCAGGTGTACCTAGTTTGGTTAGGCTGAGAGACTTGGCGCTGCTGCATCACCATGGCAGATGGCTTCTTCTGCAAGGTCCTGCGGTGGTTCAGATTCAGACTTCAGTGGATTGGCATGCAGCTGCTGCTGCAGGCATGAGGGTTGAAGAGGAGGCTGCTGGTGGTGGTGGTAGAAGAGGTGGCAGCGGTGGCCCGACAAGGCAGTGCCTGTGCTCGCCGACCCGGCATCCGGGCTCGTTTCGGTGCAGGCAACACCATGCTGGGTATGTCTGGGGTACTGGTCGGATTGTGAGAAAAAACAGCTCCACTAATTAATTACTTCCAAAATTATAAGACTGCAAAGCGTGTACAAATTAAGGAGAGAAAGATGATTTGCATATAAATATATGGGTGTTTATGAATTAATCACGCATATAATCAACACGATGTCCTTTCTCTATATGCTGTAATTTCTTCTTCAAAACCTTTTTTTCTTAATAAAAAATTTTCCCGTGGAAAGTTCAGTTCAGGTTTTGAATTTACCAACTTTGCATCAAGATGAAGTATCATTACCTTCTTCATTTAGTCAAAATATTCGACTAAACACACAAATCAATCAGTAATCTCTCGAATTGAGAGAGTTTTCGTGTTGGAAAAGAATATATGTTTATATGTCCCTGCCGTCCAAAACCAATTTCTAATATTCCAATGTTGACATGTTTCACTATTGCATTTGATGGCCTCTAGTGTTTATGAAAACGACATTCACAAATTGACATGTTTTCAATTCCAAATTCGATTCCGATAACCAATTTACACTGTTAAAACAAGTTTATATATATATAAATATCTCCTCAAGGGAACTTTTCATCCATATTCCCTGTAATTTAATTGTTAAATACAAAGTAAAATGAATCCTCCTCCTCCATGACTTTCTTTTGGTATATAAGCACACTGCTCTCTCGCATTCTACATGCTGATAGATAGTTGTGATCAGTGAGAGCTTGATGAAGCACATGGACAGGGAGTTGTTGGAACTGTCATTCACATTTAGCACCCAAATTACAGATTCTACCGCACGTACAGTCCCTTGATCTTAACCGCTTCACTGCAAGATTTATAACAACCACTTAGTTGACGTAAAATACCAAATGAAATGTCACCGTTTTGGGGAACTGGTGCAAACCCAGCTTCCCATATATGACACTAAGGCCATGTTTGGTGATTAGGATTGGATTGGATACTCACTATATTTAAATCATGTTTAAGGAAGAAATGAATTTTTTTTTTATCAAGTTGAAGGTTGAAGAAGAAAACTTATCCCATATAATCCCCATAAAATGGTAGGATAACACCACCTTATAACTAATTCCTCCTAATCCCCCTAACACGGAAAGTCATTCACCTCTACCTTCAGTTCCTCCTTCAATATACCTTAGATTTAGTGACTTATCCAATTCAATCCAATCCGGAGCACCAAACAATGCCTAAGCCTCTACACTAATTGGGTATAGCCAAAGAACCTAAACTTGACCAAGCAATTAGGACTGTAACTATAAATACACAGCAAGAAAAATGTGAAAACTTTTTCAATCAGTCGGGACTCGCTGTATCAGAGGAAACAGCTTCTCAATGCATGCAATTTACTTAGAAAATGGATATAAAGTAGAAAGTATACTGCTATAGAGGTTTTGCAGAAATTTCAAACTAGCCACAAGAAAGAAGAAATCGGATCCTCACCTCAGGGCAGCAGTCCTGACGAACAATTGTCTGACTGTTTATATTTACATACACCTCACATGATGCTTTTGCCTGATGATCACAATTAGAAAAAAATGCCAACGAAAGAATTAACATCGAAACTAACATGCACATGATAGAGGGGTCAAATAGAAAGTGGGGCACACCATAATCAATGGCCTCTTCAGCCACTCATCCTTGTTACTTCGCAGCATTTCACATGTAATTTTTCTACAGAGTGATAAATCCACCAGCAGATAGGAATATTACAGGGTATCAAAGAACAGTAGATTTTACTTTTCTTATCCAAGACGAAATAATTTGGGTGAAACAGGCTGTGCACCAATCTATAATGCATATATCACAAATTGAAGGGTACCCGTCCTTTAAATTCACTCACTTTTGAAATGACTGATTAACTTAAATTGACATAAACTCATAAACACTATGAACTCCAGAACATCAAAGAAGAAATTAATCAACAAAATGAAAACAACCACATTGTGTGAAGTTGATCTTAGCTAGATGCAACACTTCTTACACATAAACCCCCCCAACTGTCTCATAAGACGAGTAAAACTCAGCCTACGAAGACCATTTCACCAACAAAAAGTTCGCAACTTTGTTCAAAAATTTGACAAGTTAATACGGATTCAATGCAAAATTCAATCTTTAACTTTTACTGTTCCAAGCAAACATCAGATAGAATCAATACCAATTAAAAGCTTCTACATTGAATCAAGAGCAAGTTTTTACCTTGATAGGAATTTTGAAGAAAAAGAGCCCCAAAGTCCCTTCCACCTCCGTATCAGTATCAAAGGGTATTACACCCCTAGCCAAATCTTCAAGCAAGTAAAACACGTCGTGGATGACTTCAAGCCCGTCCAGCACGAGCGTGGCGTTCACGTACGACGACCCTCTGGCCCTCACACGCCCTCCATCGGAGCTCACAAACCCTAGCTCTCTCGCACGGTACCCTACCGTGACGCGGAGCGAGTCATAGTTCAGAGAAAACAAGTCACGGTTTCGCACTCTGATGGTCAGAGAGAAGGAGAGGTCGAGAGTGGGTCTGGGGGAAGAGTTGACTCGGACGTGGTTGAGTTTGAGTCGCACGAGTTGCAGGGTGGGGTCGGAAGGGAAGAGGAAGAAGATGGCGGTGGAGAGGAGAAGGAGGGAGGCGGTGATTGAGAGGCAGAGGAGGAGACGACGTCGTCTCCGGTAGTTAGGATTGGGACGGTAGGGAGCTAAAACGACGATGGTTTGCTGGGGTTGGGTGTGGGTCGGGTCGGATGGGATCGGAGCGTAGTATACAAACTCACCCTTGGAGGCCATTGTTTGTTGGAACTGATAAAGACACAAGACTGCACAGAGTTTTTAAGTCTTAATTCGCTACGGCCAAACGGTTCGTTTTATTTCCGTACGTAAAATATTGGGTTGTTGACTGATACGCACCGGTTTGACTTGTCATATTGTGGGTCATAAATTACGTGGCAGGATCTGGGTCGTCCACGGTAGGTCCACTCTTATTTTGGAGTGGACGTGGCAAAATGAGGAGTGGTAAATAGTTTTTCTTCAAGAAAACGAAATCCCTAGCCGCGAAGCAGACTTCTCAGAAGGCAAACCAAGCGTCGGTTGTCGTTGTTGCTGATTTTGGCGGGTGACAGTTGAGAGAGAGCGCGAGAAATCAATGGGTATAGGGGAAGCAGAGGAGGAAGGGCCTATTTTCAGGGATATAAGACAATATTATTGTGAGTACTGTGGCATCTGCAGGTCCAAAAAGACCCTGATTGCTTCTCACATGCTCACTCACCACAAGGTTTCAGTCCATTCTTTTTAATTCTGGTTTTTTATTGCCCAATTATGAATTTTTATGAATTGGATTTTCGAATTTGAGGGATTTACTGTTGTGGGTTCATTTGGTTTTTGTATTTTAAACAAAATCTGAAGCTGGGTGTCTTCAGATTGATTATCTTAAATTTTTACTTATAATTTGGTTACTTTTGCTACAGGAAGAGATGGAAATGGCCAAAGAGGCTGATGGGAAAGGAGAGAGGGAAAAATCCAATACTTGCCAAGAATGTGGTGCTACTTTTAAAAAACCTGCATATCTCAAGCAACACATGCAAAGCCATTCCCTTGAGGTAATATTTGCTATTAACTTCAAATTGTTAATAAACCTTCACATGATTCCAGAGTATTGGTGTCTGAAGTTGTGTTAAGGAAACCAGCGGCAGCTTGTATAGTACTCGTCTGATGATATTTCTACTGATTAGTTTGATAGCTTCATAACAGCTGATTGTGTCTATAGCTTTCCTTATTTTTCGTATGAAGGTCCTGTAATTTTCGCATCAATTGAAGATATAAATTTTGCAGGATTCAACATTTTTAAGAACTATCCTTTGGATAGCGTGAAGCATTGGATCCCACACAAAGAACTCCAAAATGCGAGAGGTTTCTGACTTGACTGGACCAGTATCAGGTGGGAGACCTCCTGTGAAGCTCCAACAAGCGAACCTCAATCACGTACTGCTTGGTTTGAGGTTTGAATGCTTGATCATGTGCACTTTGAAATTATATGGTTATTCGTTCATGAATTCCTTCTAGCTTATTTTTTACATTTTGGATGAGGTTTCTGTAGTATTTGCATCAATTGAAGTTATAAGTTTTGCAGGAATCGGCATTTTAAAGAAGTATCTGTTGGACAACGTGGAGCATTGGATCCCACACAAAGAACTCCAAAATGTGCGAGGGTTTGACTTGAATGGACCAGTACCAGGTGGGAGACCTCCTGGGAAGCTCCATCAAGCAAGCCTCAATCACGTACTGTTCAGTTAGAATTGAATGCTTGTTCACTTGTATTTTGAAACTATGGTTATTGGTTCCTGAATTCGTTTAGCTTATTCTTTACAGAGGCCATATGTTTGTTCGGTGGATGATTGTCGTTCCAGCTTCAGAAGAAAGGACCACTTAAATCGTCATCTTCTTCAGCACCAAGGGAAACTCTTTAAGTGTCCGATTGAGAACTGTAATCGTGGGTTTGGTTCCCAAGGTAACATGAGGAGGCATGTGAAAGAACTCCACAATGAGGATGATCCTTCGGCAAATGTTGGAGGTCAGAAGCAGCATGCATGCCAGGATTGTGGAAAGGTGTTCAAATTTGCTTCAAAGCTGCAGAAGCATGAGAATTCTCATGGTAGCTTTAATTTCTGAATTCGATCTTCTTTTTGTATTCTGCCTTTTGTGTGTGCGTCAGTGGTGAATATTGTTGTAAGATACAAATTTTCCTGAAAATGAGGGGATGTGCTTTTGTTGAAGTTTTTGGCGGTATGCTTAATGCAAACTCTAAATATATCCTTTTATATGTGTAGTTAAGCTGGATTCAGTGGAGGCATTCTGCTCTGAACCTGGCTGTATGAAATATTTTTCTAATCAGAAATGCCTTAAGGCCCATATTCAGTCCTGCCACCAACATATCACCTGTGAGATATGTGGGACCAAGAAGCTGAAAAGGAACATCGAACGGCATCTCTGCATGCATGAAGGGGGAGGTGCTTCAGTGGAGAGAATTAAATGCAGTTATAAGGGTTGTCTTCACACGTTTTCAACTGTGAGTTACTGACTTGACTTTTAATGGGTTTATGTACGCACATAAAGAACAAACAGATTTCATTATTTTGGAAAGAAAAAAAATTAGTTTTGCATTCTTTGCATTGCCATTGTTAGTTTTTTTATTGTTTCCATTTCTGATTTTGCTTACATTTGCAGAAATCAAATCTCCATCAACATGTCAAGGCAGTACACCTTGAATATAAACCGTTTGTCTGTAGCTTTTCGGGTTGTGGCATGAGATTCGCATATAAGCATGTGAGAGATAAGCATGAGAAGACTGGACGTCATGTCTATGCATATGTGAGTATTATTCTTAGATAATTCAATACCCTCATATGTTGGATTTTGGGATAAGCATCTTTCCAGGCAATGCCACATTTTGAGTTCATATGTGGGACATTATTGCTTTGAATTGCAGGGGGATTTTGAAGAGGCTGATGAGCAATTCCGGTCAAGGCCAAGGGGCGGCCGTAAGAGGAAGTACCCCACTATAGAAATGCTCGTACGAAAAAGGGTGACTCCACCAGACCAATTGGGCCAGGAGTCTGAGTACTGCTCCTGGTTGCTCTCACAAGAAGCCGAAGACGAGAATTGAGCCATGCCCTTGAAGTAAGTGATTGGACACTACATATGCTTCCACTACCTACGCTAACCTACGTAGAAGTTTGGGTGTCATGAATCTGAACATTAGATATGGAAATTGAGTGATGCTGTGAATCTAAACAATAAATATGTATAGCATTTCTGTATTTTTTGAAGATAAGCATTTTTCTGTTTAGTTGAATGGTTTTTATTAATCCAATAGTTGAACCACGACCTCTATCTGAACTCCGAAGAACAAATTTGTGCGCTACTTGCCAAACCACCCATAACTTTGATGGGCTGGAGCCTGGAACAGTCATTTTGCATTGGCTCAAAATTGTGGAATGAGTGCTCTCTCTTCTTTTAGCTCTCAATTTTTGCCCACCACATGTATATGTGGAACAAATTTGTTCTGCTCGTTAATATATCGTTTTGGATTGTTTTGATAATTAAGAATGACTTTTTAAACTCATCCTTTTCATTAGAACTTTCAATTACTTTACGTAGAAAAAATAAATATATTAATTTTGGGTGGAATATTTGGTGTGTGGTATATAAATTCCCATAAATGGATGCATTTTTCATGAACTGGTACACACGTTTCAAAGAATTCAATGTAAACCCAAGAATGTTTGACATGGAAGGAATGTGACACATTGCAAATATCTGTGTCGGCTTCGGCACGTAACCATCGATTCCAGATTCGACCATATGATAAGATAATTGTTCTACTTTCGTTATTGGAGCCATCTAATTATTGGTTATGAAAATCAGGGTTTCTATTGCTGCATATACACTTTATATAAAAACGAGTAAAATCATAGGCCTTACAAAACTCATCTCAGATATTCCATTATCCTCCATTGGGATGGAAGAAAATAACTCGAGATTTAGTTAAAAGTTAGGAATTGAAGAGAAGAGAAATTGATATTTTCATTGTTTGGCAACTTAAACATGGAACTTATTAATTGAAGATCAAGATTCCTGAGTTTAATTTCCGGCAAAAGAGTCATTATTTTGCAAATTCTATTATTTCAAGTAGGAATTCGTTTTTACTATAATTTATGTCATTTGCAAAATTTGACACACATAAATCTAAACACTGAAATTATTAATTGACAAAAATTTAAATGATTGATATCTAAATTCCGTCATTTAATAATTCTTTGCAATTTTGAATTCCTTCATCCTTATGGTCAAGAAGAAATAAGAAAAAGAAAAGGAGGGGAAAACCAATATTATCTACAACGAGTCGCCAACGCCAAGTACTCTGTGCAAATAAAATTTCAAGTAATTTTTTAATCAATGACTTTATAAGATTTTGATGCAAACTCATTTGCCTTTCTGCATAAATATTTGTTTTTGAGAGGGTAGAAAGAAAGATGCTTCCTTTGAGCAGAAACAAGAGAAGAGAGACACCGTCGATGTTTTATATCAGTGTAAAACATTCAGCAAGTGCACATACATTAAAACTGTAATAGTAATACATAATTCATATATAATTTATAATCCAAATTAGAAAACTCAATTTTTGTAAGTTTAAGATATTGTTTAACACAGAAAATCAAAATGCATAAATTTGTTTGTTGTTAAGAGCCAACCGATGCTTTACACGAGTTATGTAACTCTTCGAACTCTGTAGACTAGACTGGTCTAAGGTTGAAAGAGTGATCACATCTAAAACAGAGGAGGGGGTCATTATCTGATCAATTTTTAAACAAATCCACTGTTAAAGAAGATAATAGAATAACTAAAGATTCCATAATCTACCCCACTTGGAAGGATTATGGTAATGGTTGTATGCAAATAACATAAACTTTGTAAAAATATATATACAAATTAAAAAGCCTTGAGGGAGAGAGGAAAAGGACTGGATATGGTCAGTGGGTAGCTGCATGAAGATGAGGTTTCCATGTGAGAGCTGAGGAGGGCTCATGATCATCTTTTTATATGTGGCTCATTTGTACACGTATAGATTCTGCTATTGGTTTTGCTCTTTTGGTTTTTTTTTTTTTAATATAATATTTTTTTTCTTGTACACCAGATGGTCCATCTGCTCTCTCCCTAAGTCAAAAGATTTGGCCTCCCCATGTGGCTAAGTGTAAGAGCTTTTTGTTGCCTTCTGATCACTTCGTATATATCTTAGCCATGAGCTCATATTGATGATATTTGGGTTGATCATGACTTCATATGTTCTTGTTCTAACTTCCTAGGGTGGTTCCCAACTTATCTGATAGCCTTTGGTTTTTTTTCTTCTTTCTTCTTTTTTTTGTCTGCAAAACTGGACCAGTCTTATGAATGCGTAGAATTGATTTTATTTTAGCCATGAGTATTCTGCGTTTCTTCGTTCAGAAAAAAAGAAAAGAAAAGAAAAGGAAAACATCTCAATGCTTGCTCAAGTGAAAAAGAACTTTGAGAGAAGCTCCAGTTAGTCTTTTGTTTCTCCAAAAATGTCAAGAAAGTGCTGGAAGCTGTTACCCTGCATCATCATTGAATTTGATTAATGATTAAAGACAAATGAAAATGGGACCAAGATACCAATCATTGTACTCAATTTGCCAAATGTTGCGAGTTAAAGTAGGATAGTCTTTATCCCAATAAATAGTGTGATGGTCTTTAAATAAAAAAACCATTTTTCAAGGTATCAAAAAAAGTTTTAATTTCATAAAACACTATCAACTTGGATATATATCCTTGTAGTTTATTATTATTATTTTCTAAAGTATATCCTTCTAGTTGTATTGTATACAAACATCTCTTCAATCTCTTGTTGTAGCCATATATATACCGTTTCTTCGTTCAGAAAAAAAGAAAAGAAAAGAAAAGGAAAACATCTCAATGCTTGCTCAAGTGAAAAAGAACTTTGAGAGAAGCTCCAGTTAGTCTTTTGTTTCTCCAAAAATGTCAAGAAAGTGCTGGAAGCTGTTACCCTGCATCATCATTGAATTTGATTAATGATTAAAGACAAATGAAAATGGGACCAAGATACCAATCATTGTACTCAATTTGCCAAATGTTGCGAGTTAAAGTAGGATAGTCTTTATCCCAATAAATAGTGTGATGGTCTTTAAATAAAAAAACCATTTTTCAAGGTATCAAAAAAAGTTTTAATTTCATAAAACAATATCAACTTGGATATATATCCTTGTAGTTTTTTATTATTATTTTCTAAAGTATATCCTTCCAGTTGTATTTTATACAAACATCTCTTCAATCTCTTGTTGTAGTCATATATATACATAAATTCTCTTATGTGGATATTCAGACGTTATTATCATGCGGACATTATGTATTTTGTACTACCCTCCCTGCTTTCTTGCATGTTTACAATAACATCCGCACGATATATATATAAATTAAAATGATCCAAAAAATCAAACCTTGTAATATTGTAAGATTGGGGTGGTACCTAACACCTTCCTCCTCAAGAAACCCATTTCCACAAGTTTCGTTTTCGTTAAATGACGGTGACCAATATTTCGGTTTTTTAAAGATAGTAGATGAATTCAACAAAGCAAGTCAGCTGGCTGCTTCAGATTCTGTATATTTAATTTCTTCTCTGAGAAAAAAAATAATAATAAAGTGAAAGGGTAAATTACATGTGTTTGGTACTTGTAGAGCATATTGTAACTCAAATTTTTGGTTTGATAAGGTCCAAAAATCGTAGCCTAAATGCAAATGAACGATCTATGAACGGCATGTCGTAGGGGTTAAGAAAAGTGGGATAATGTTGATGATTCAGTTGATGATTCATGAATTTCTTGTGTTGGTGGAAACACTGACTTGATCCCCCTGTGTACTGAAAGCAACCTTTAAACAAAGGCATATGGAAATCGAAAAGAAGAAAGTAGACAAAAAGAGGCAGCTAGCAAACAACTACCAGTCAACCAACAAAACTACCAGTCAGTTTGAAATGCTATTGCTAATACAAATCTTCCTTCTTCCATCCGCTTTTCCTGGTGGTCAAATGCCAATCAAGTGCTTCACCATTCCCTGGAAACAGCAAACCCAACAGGAAAGCTTTGTGTAAATGGTCTTTTGTTTTGTTTTCTCTCCCAGCTTCCTCATCTCATTGGTGCCTTTGCTTTCTTTTCACTTTCAAACTCATAACTCTTATCTCTTCCTGGCTTCCCCTGAAACTTGAGAAAGCTGCAGTGATTAAGCGATACGATCCATGGCGAGAACAGGCAATAAGAACATACAAGCCAAGCTGGTGGGTATGTCTTCCTTTATATTTTCTTTCATTCACTTTACTTGTGTGCATGAAATGGGATACTCTTAATTACTAGTTTCTTTTCTTGGAAATATGTTTGGTTTGTAATTCAGGGAAATAAATTGAGTTTTTTTCTTGGAGGATCACAGATCACTTGAAATATGCCTAGCCTAGATTTGAGGAGTAGAAGTTGATGTATTAAACTTCTTGTTTCTATTTGAATGCTTAGCTGATTGTAATTCACTTGATGAGCAGCATCTATGATGCTATGATTATATGTTTTTTAAAATTTATTTATCTCTCTGAATTCAGAATTTGTTTTATCCCCTTATAAGTAATTACCTTCTGAAAAAGTCTTGGTTCTTAGATTGTTTGGATTGTTACATTTTTTCCATTAAAATATTTTAGCATTGAAAACCAGCAAGAGGAGGCCATCTTGGTCAATTAATTGGCTTTATCATTGCTTTTTCCCAGGTACTTCTTGGGGACATGGGAACTGGGAAGACAAGCTTGGTATTGAGATTTGTGACAGGAAAATTTTTGGAGTACCAGGTTCACTTTGAATATATATATATATATATATATATATATAGAATCTTTCTCTGTATAAATTGTAGCATTATTAGTTCTTGGTCTCTAACATGAGTGTAAGCTGCAGGAATCAACAATTGGAGCAGCTTTCTTCACTCAGGTTCTGTCACTAAATGAAGCTACCATCAAATTTGATATATGGGACACTGCGGGTCAGGAACGGTACCATAGCCTGGCTCCTATGTACTACCGTGGTGCCGCTGCAGCTGTTGTGGTGTATGATATCACAAGCATGGTATGGTAACTAAACTAATATATCCAACAGGGTTTCGATCCTTACATTTGTTGCTAGCTTTTCACATGTTCATGTTTGTCACACACAGAATGCCTTGAAAGATGACTGCCAATGAACTTAAATGTTTTTCACATTTGTTGCTAGCTTTTCACATGCCTTCCAATGCTGCCATTCTAAGTTTATCTGTTGTGTGCATGAAGTTTTTCGGTTTTCATTCTTCCTGAAGCAGAGATACTTCATAATATGTCTGCTGTGCAACAGAAAGATTTCTCTTAGAATATGCCTGGTTCAATATGTGGTGTTTTGGCTGCAGGAATCATTTGTGAGAGCAAAAAAGTGGGTTCAAGAATTGCAAAGACAAGGTGCATGACAGTTTTTGTACTTTTTGAAAACTTTTGGAGTCTGATCAGTGTTTTCTGGTTCAAGTGAATTTCAATATTGTTTCAAGCTAAAGTAAATTTGTTCAAATCCTTATTTGATCTCAGCAAATCCAACTCTAATAATGTTCTTGGCCGGTAACAAGGCTGACTTGGAAGAGAAGAGAAAAGTGGGGTTTGAGGTATTCACTCTTCACCATCCCATGTTCCTTTTTGGTCATTTTTCATATTCATACAAGTACAATGAAAGGCACACCTGTTAGATTTATAACAGAATCTGAAACTAAATTTTTATTGATTCTTAGATTGTTTTGCAAATGACTACGTTTTTGATACTGCAGGAAGGTGAGCAATATGCCAAGGAAAATGGCTTGGTTTTTCTTGAAACATCTGCCAAAACTGCACAGAATGTCAATGAGCTCTTTTATGAAATAGGTACACCCTATTTCATATGTTATGCAAATTGTTTCAGTCCCGGATCTTCTTTACCATGCTTATGAAAGCAAGTCTTTTTGCAGGAAAAAAGTTGGCTAAAGCTAGCCCTTCTCGTCCAACTGGGATAAAATTGCATAGCAGATCACAGCAAAACAGCAGGAGAATGTTTTGTTGCTCTTGATGACGCCACGCCAGTATGCAACTTTCTTATGTGCATCAAATTTATCATTTCAATTCAAGTCTTCAATAGATTCTTTAATATGATTTTGTTTTTTTTTTTCCTTTTCCCAGAAGCAACAAACATATACTTGTATGATTACAGGTTCATCTGTGTTCAAGGACATCATGGTTCAAGAAGATGGAGAAACTAACTAATCGTGGCTCATGATCAAGGACATGGTTCATCTGCGAGCTCTGCGAATCGCGCGTTACAAATATTAATTTCCTTTAGTTATGTACATTATAAGAATTGTTTCATTATGTTCATTTGATGTTCCAAGAGTGATTGTGGAACATAATATGGAGAAGCAAAATGCAACGTGGCATGGCCAATAAAGCAATCTACTCTTGATTTCTGAAATGTGTGTGTGTGTGTGTTATGCAACAATAGACACCATAAATATATTGTCAATGGTGGTCCTAAATCCTCCATGGTAGCCTTGAAAGTCAGCTCTTTGAGGGCATATTGGCAGAGTTTGGGGTCTTTATTTTTAATGGCATTGAAAGCCAAAGCCAAAGCCGAAATTCAATATTGTATTAAATGCGGTGCAGTGTGCAGAAAATGAAGCTTCTTGCCTAATAGAGCTCTCCTCTCCTCCCTCATAGAAACCAAAGAGAAAGGTCTCGTCCTTATCAAAGTGGACAAAGACCTCAGCAAGGGCAGGTGACACACAAAGAGACAGTTTTTGTGTATTTTAAGCTTTCAATGCATAGTTATCTGAACTCGAGGTCCCTCAAAAACAGAGAGATTTCTTTTCCATGTTTTTTCCCTCTTGGTTTTTTTTTCTTTCTTCATTTTTTGGAAGTCCACCCTTGACAGTTCACGTGCCATTTCTCACCATCCCAAAACAAAAACAAAAACAAAGGTGAACATGTTTTCTTCTTGTACAAGCGACATTAGGGAGTGGGGAACCAAATTTAGGACTCAATTGTAAGACTAACTGCTCTTAAACACTTAACTACAAGTGTCTTGTAAATGTGAAATTATACAAACGACATTGAGGAGTCGGGAACCGAAAGACTAACTGCTCTTAAATACTTAAACTATAAGTGTCTTTTAAAGGTGAATATGTTAAGATAGAAAATGCGATAAAACTGCTTTCCCAAAAACTACTAAAAACCCAAGTGAAAACAAGAAAAGCAATTCTGTCTCTCTGCAGGTTCAGAGAGAGAGAGAGAGAGAAAGAGTTGGAAATTCATGTGGCATGGGCTGGCTTGGGTGGACGAGCCATGGCCACGCATGCAGTGAAAAAAGCTGATCTGGGTACACTACTCTGCCTCTTCCCAGCTAATTTTTACTATTCCCATTACAAATCACCAAACAGAAAAAAATAAAACCCACCCACCTCTTAAATACAATTAAAAAAGAAGATTAAAAACTAAAGCTCTAACTAAACTGTTTCTCCTGATTATGGCATGGAGAATTAACCATTAATCACCATGAAGGAGAAGTACAAGGAGAACCTGATGAAGAGGAAGAGAGGCCATTGTTAGTATTGGAATCACTACCTGAAGTGCCTAAGGACCTGGCATCTCTGAGAGGAACAGAGCAAGCCTCTGCGGGGAGCTTCTTCATTGGAGTTAGAGGAGGTGTGGTTGTTGGGCTTGAGGGACCAGAAGGGGTTGGTTGGGCAACCTCATCCTCTCCAGAGCTAGAAGAAGAACCCCCTCCCATTTCTAGTCTTGAAGGTGAAGTCTCTGGAGTTTCAAAGGGAGTGTTGTTTTCTCCTCCACTGTGCCTGGTGCTTGCTTCATCATTGTCATAAATGGGGTTAGAAATGTACACAAAATGCTCTGCACCACCACCAGCTTTCTCATTACAATGAGCACCAGGACTGCTATTACCAGCTTGAATTTTCTCTTCTTGGGTTGGCTGGGGTGAAGTCACAAAAGAAATTGATGGGGATGGGCTTGATATTATGACCCCAATATGACAGGGGGTTGTGTTTGGTAATATTTCTTGGTTTGGGACCGGGATGTCAAAAACCTGGTGAAGAAGGTGAGTATGGTGCTTCTTTGTTTCTGCATTGTCTTGTTTGCAAGGAACTGATGGGAAAAGGAAGCTTCTTGGAGCACGAAGAACCCCTAGAAAGCTGCTGAGAGGAGGGCCAGCTGAGTGATGTTGAGGCTGTGATGAGGGCTGCTGAGAAGAGGTTGTGGTGGCTGCAGAGTCGATGGCATCAGCGGTGGCGGTGGCGTTGAGGTTTGGGTTGGAGGTGTTGGTTTTGAGCTGACGCCGGCGAAGTAGGAGGGAACAGTAGAGCTCAGCTAGCAGCACCAAGATTAAGCCCAACACTATGGCAAGGCTCACCACCATTACCAGTGTGGCCCCCATTATCACCTTGGATGTGCCCTTCATCTCTCTCTGTTTTCTCTCTGTTTCTCACTCTGTTTCTCTTAGACTGGAGTGTGAGGCAGTGAAAGGGTCCTGTGTTATATTGGAGGGTGAGAAGCTTTTTTTGGCGGGAAACAGTACGTCCCCTTTGACAAGGAAAGGGCATGGGATGCGAATCTAGAAGGGGCAAAAGGCCTGGGGAATGTCAAGGCTTTTCCTTCTGACAGTCAAGGTCATAATAGTAATTTGGGTGGTACTACCACTAAGGTTAACACCATTATTACAATATCGGAACCCATTTGACAGTTACGTTCGAATCCCATGACAATCGGCAAACACTTGGTATAAACAACAAATTTACCTCTTTGTCCTGGAGTGCAGACGAAATTACCATTCTACAATCACTAAAAGAAAGAAAAATTCATTTATGACAATGGAGCTGTTATACATCATACAACAACAAAGCATTCTCAATCTCAAATTTCAAGTTCCTGTCAGATTCTAGTATCTCTATCAATTGAAGCAGCAGACACTGTTACAATGATGGTTCAGCCGACGATTTACAATGATGACTCAGCAGATTCAGTAAAGACTTGGGGCTTTTCAGAGTGAGGTAAAACACCAATCCTGGGGTGCCACAGTGCCACTCAACTATAGCAATCGATATTAGTCGTGTTAACTTTCTTCAAGACAACACAATAGCCACTCAGTGAAACACAAGCAACAAGATAACAATGGTTACCATCTACCTGATAAGGATTCAGATTTTGAATTCTGATTGCTTTACCCGCTACCTTCCTCTTAGTGCTTTAAATTGGGCAGCCAAATCCTCATAGTCTGGCAACTTGGGATGCACATGCCGAGCTGGGTTGGACCTATCTGGTTGAAAGGAAGCCGCCCGAGCATAAACTTTGGCTGCCTCTGATGGACCACTATGTTCATTCGGAAGGGAAATCGATCTTGCTGGGGTTGCCATTTCTGACTCATCTCTGCTTTCGTGCCTTGGGGATTCACCAACACCAGTGCCTGCATGACGTGGATGACGACTTCTTGACTTTCTTCTTGACATTTCTGGTTCAAAGTTGGATGGCTTTTTACTGTAATGAATCAGCAGTTCATCGATTCTCCTCTCTTCTTCATCTTTCTTACCGTGCTCATCATCAAATAACAGTTGCAGGCCTCGTCTTGTCTCATCCCTTCTCCTGCTTCTGGATTTTCTCATTGCTACTTCTGCATCTTCACTGTTTCCGGCATCATTGTGAGAGGAACGTGATCTTGAGTGTCTCCTCCTAGCTGATCTTGGTTTGCTAGATGCATCATCCCGATGAGTGTGATCCTTCTCAAGATCATGATTATTAACCTTTGCAGCAGCACGCCTCTCACCCTCATCATCAGATCCTGGTTGTGCTCCTCCCAGTATATTATCAACAAAGGCTATGTTATACGCTACAGGATCCTTAGTGATGCCATCATTGCCAGAACTACGATGTGAAGAACCTAAACTGGTTTCATGTTTTCTACCTTTTGCTTTGACATTAGGTTTCACATATGGAGGAGGGATGCCATAATTCTTCACTTTAGGTGTTTCTTCTTCTTTACTTGCTAATCTTGCATCATTGTGTTGGCCGCCATAATTGTCATCAGCAAATGAGCCTTTACCATTGCTTTTCACATGCGATCCAGCAACATTTGGCTTTACATGAGGTAAAGCTTCATGGCAGTCTCTCTTAGGAACATTGTTCTCCCTACCATGATGCCTTTCCTGTCCTTTTGCCTGAGATGAACTGCCCAATCCAACTGAATTTGGGGGAGCATCCTCCTTTCCATTCCATGCTTCATATTTGTGAGAAACAACTTCTTGCCTTTCCTGGAACAAAATTCCATGCCCATTTTTTTCCACAACCGTATCTTCCCTGCCACTGAGAGACTTGTATTCTTTTCCAACGAGTCTATGCCTCGTCTGATGATTGTGCTCATCCGTCTTCAATACAGTACCATCCTTGTCATTGTGTAATTTGTGGGCATCATTAAGATCAAGCCTCCTTTCTGTAGGCAAAATATTATGCTTATCTCCTTTTGGGACTGCAGATGCCCCATTAGACAATTTGCCTTTATTATCAGGAACATGGGAAGATCCGTAAGTTTTTGGCTTTTCCTGCAAGGTCCCAATTTTCAAGTGACTTCAAATTTTGAGAAAGCAATGCTTTTGACTAAGGATTTTTTATTCTATCTATTACAGATGTTAACACAGTAGGTGGACATACCTGTATAAATGCAGGAGGTTTAGACATCCTTTGTTCAAAGGCCTTGGAGTCCCACTTTATTGAGAATTCCAATGCTATGTCTTTCATTAACTGAATCTTCTTCTCCAATGTAGGAGGCTTTGAAGCTAAGTTCTCAACAAACTATCAATAAAAATTCAGTTGGTTAGTTTTAAAGCAGTTACGGATTCACACAGTTCTATTATGAGCAGGTCAATAAATAGTTACCTTTTGATTCACAAAATACTCCAGAGAATTCTCGTATCTCTCTTGAAATAGTTGCCTAAGGTCACGCAATTCTGGTAAATCAGAAAACCTTGCTGCAGCAGACATCAGTGATGATACAGGTTCCCGACATTCCTCAGGGCATTCGCTACAATGAAAATAATGCAGCAAGGAAACATTGTATTGAGTTTGATTTTATTGTTCTTAAACTAATGCAATTAAGGAAGGTTCAAGAATGGTAATATCATTCCTTTTAGCAGGAATCCAAACCATTTGTTTGGATAACTTTGTAATGTATAATATTAGAGGAACTACGTTAGATTAACAGACATAATGGAGAAAGGACATAGAATCAGCTACCAACTTCAATCATTCATGATGTGGTCAAATGCAGAATTTGGTGAGAGTTTGCAATCGAATTACAGTAGTCCACACATGGATAGTGTTGTAACAGATTTTTACTCAAATCAATATCTTCCCAACAGATATTCCCCAGCTAGAAGGATGCCAACCAAATCTACACCCATTTTTGCAGCTTCAAACACCATCAGCCATAAATTGTACACATGTGCATATCATATAATATGATAATTCACAGAGTTGAACATGACATGTATAGAAGAAGGTTATATAGTATAAGAGTGCCAAATCCAAAGATGAAAGCAAGAGAAGATACACAATGCTGCATCAGTAGGATTTGGCAAATTAAGTAAACTGGCGAGACTGATATCAAAAAGAGCATCATACAGTTGCATATGCTAAATAGACTAAGAAAATCAAATGCTTGATATTGGCAGCAAACAATCTCTAGATAAGCACAAGAAGGAAAGAACAAGGTATACCTTTGTTTCTGCATGACTGAAAGATGCTTCAGCACCAAATCACAGCATCGCTCCACGAAATCATAACACGACGAAAGTATCACCTCTGCTGTGAGTCCATCAGCCTGTATTTAACAAATATAACACTCTTCATTTAGGTGGACAAGATAGACAAAAACAAAACTAGTCCATCAGCCTGTATATCCAATTAATAAATAAACCTTGTGCATTTGATTTAATCAAAAGATTATATCCTCTCAAATAGCAAATGTCGCAAAAAAAAAACAAAACAAAACAAAAGTGGAATATTGTTTTTTCTCGGCGACCAAACAGATTATAGAAAATACGGAATTGCAACTAAAATCACTCAACAAGAAAGAAAGCATCAATGAATCAAAAGCCAAAATACAAATTGTAAAGACAGAGCAATCAATCTCACCCTTCCAAAAGCATTAATATCAAGGCCATTGGCGAGTAGATCAGCGATATCTTTCCTCAAAAACTTCTGCGTGGCGTTCCTCTTCCTCCGTATCACATCGATCCGAGTTTTCGTCAATTTAATCAACGATTTACTACCAAAACAAAAGACATGCAGAAAATACGAAACATATCATAAGCACACTAATATTTCAATTTATGTAGATACATAGATGCAGATGAAATTGTAAAAAGAGAGGGATCTGAGGGAAAACCATTTAGCGGCAAATCCACGGCCGAGCAGCCCGTCCAACATTTTTCAATCTCTTTCTTCAACTCGGTGAACACTGAGCAACTCAGACTGAAAGAGCGGGCATTAGCGAAGCTGGAGCTTGAACAAAAAGAAGAAGAAGAAGGAGGAGGAAGATGAAGAAGAAGAAGTCTCTTTCTCTCTTTGTGAAAGCCGCTTCCTTCAGTGGGTCTCGGACATTTTTCAAACTCACTTGGCCACTAAACTGATGGGACAGAGAAAACTTCTGTGACCATAAGGTCCTTGCTCTTTTACCTTTACGTAACGACGTTGACGCGGGTAACAACCGGTCATTTTAACGTTAGGGAGGGTATTTTGGGGAGATAGCGATGTTTTGGTGAGTGCGGCGGATGAGTCGGTGGCTAAAAGTGTGGTGGGGAGATCATGGGCGTTGGATTTGAATACTTTTGAGGTCTCGTTGTGGAGAGGTGGGGGGTGAGAAGTCATCAAGTCAAGGTGGGTAAAGACGAGTGTCACAGGAGTTGATAAAATCTGCTGAGCTGGACCCGGAGAGGGTGGTGACCATCAAGGCCTTTGGTTTCGGTCATATTATTATTTTTAATTATTATTAGTGTATTTGTTTATTTATTTTATTTTATATTGCTTTCATGGGACGACAATAAAAACCGTGTGAAATTATTGTTTTTGGTCTGACAGAAACAAAAATTGATAGGGGCCCAGAGCCGTTGATAACGGCCATACCAACCGTATATATAAGAATTTTGTCTGAAAATAGAAAAGAAAATTGTTCATTATTGGTGAGTGATCTTTTTCATCCTAAATTCCTACAATTTCTTTCCAAACGTCTCTCTTCCATTTTCCTCCCTTGAAAAGAATCATTTTCATTATTGTGATGTTATAGGTTGGATCATCTAATAATGAATGGATCTTATTCTTCGGGTGTACCTCTGATTTATTATGTTGTCAACGAATTTTCAGTATACACATGTTATAATAATAGTTGTGTCTTAAATTATCATTTAAAGATTATATCTATGAAAAATAGAAAGTGGTATCTGTTTGAGATTTTTTTTGAAATGGTGTATCCAATATTGAAATGGTTGTTATAACTTGGAAGATTATAATTAAGAGCAACCCACATGTTACTTCCATTAACAAATGTTAAAAATAAAAAGGGTCAAAACTATCACATACATCTTCATTTTCCTCATCACCAATCTAATTCTACCTACCTTCATCTAACTTTCCTGCAGCAGCGACCCAAATTAGCAAACCACTAATTAAAGAGCCCACCATTTTCCAATTTAATTGAGGTTTAGCACCACCCATTTTAAGATTTTTCCTTTCTGATGAATGAGATTTCAATGTCTGTTCGTGGCATGATTCTTTCTTGAATGATGAGGTCAAATTACAAAAATGCCATTTCCTAACTTGGGCCTTAGGCCCAAAAGCTAACAAAAGTTGAACCTGGGTCGGCCCACTTTAGCCCAGTCATCATTTTTACACCTGGCTGAATTGGAATTTGGCAGATAGATTTGTGACTAGTCTAACCAAAAGCTTGTTTCTTGCATTCAGTTGAAAGGATCTTCTTTGAAAGGTCACCAAAAACAGGTGGTGGGTCAAAGACTCAAATGACTTTTCATAGGAAAGATTGAATGTTTGAATTGATGACGCAACAATGAGATTTTTAGGGGCAGACGTGCAGAGAGAAAGGAAGATTGCAAGGGGTTAGGTTCCACTTTAAGTTAATTAGGGCATTTTTTTTCATATTTAATTAGGAGTAAATTGAGTTTTCATTGTAAGGATGATATGTCCAGTTTATATCATTTAGATTAAATTTTAATGAGGTGGTATGTGGAGAACAAAAATCAAGCAGATAATGACTGATAATATCAGAGATTCAGAGTAGAGGATTCAAATCCCTTTCTTAAACAATGAGGTTAAATTACAAAAATGCCATATCCTAACTTGGGCCACAGGCACAAAAGCTAACCACATATGAACCTGGGTCGGCCCAATTCAACCCAGTCAACCTTTTACACGTGGCTGAATTGGAATTTGGCAAGCCCATTAGATAGATTTGTGACTAGTCTAACCAAAAGATTGTCTCTTGCATTCAGTTGACTTACCCACTTTGAAAGGGCAGGTTGACCTTTGACCCACCCCTCTTTTTTGGTGACCTACTTCTTTCAAAACAAAAAAGCCTTGCTTCTTTCTTCTTCTTTTTTGGTCGAAAAAGCCCTATTTCCATTTTAACGGCATTGGCAATTCAACACGGACTCTGGTTATTTTGTTTAGTTTATACTGCTAGTGCCACAAAGTTACTACAAAAATTTGGGATTGTATAATGTTAAGTTTGTGTTAGTTGATGTAGATGTGGAGTAATTAAGTTCGAATCCCCTCCCTATAAGTTAGATTAATTTAGACTAATTCAAACTATCGTTTATATATAAAAAGAAAATAGTGTTACTGACTAATTCACAAGATGTCGAATGTGACAAGTTCTCTCCAAATCAGATCCCAACAACACACACCCAAAAAAAAAAACTGTGAAATATATCTCATTATGATCACAAATCACAGATTTTACAATTTAAACTCTCAATGGTGGGCCACCAAGAAATAATGGGTTTACAAAAATGCATAAGAAAGAAAGCCGGCTCTGTTATGGAAAATACTGAGTCTATTGTTGTATATATGCTTGACGGTTCCTACCTACCAAAAACATCTCAAGAAGTTGATGAGGAAATGGAACAAATAGTTTTCTCGATCGAGCAATTCATGTCGAACTAATCTTTCCAAGATGATATTCTGAGGCAGAAGCTCACTGTAGTAAAGCAAGGTTGAGACTGAGGCAGCTGGCTCTCCAATTAGAGATGTTAGTAGCCTCATCAGTGACCTAAACATCAATGGTGTAAGAGACTGCATCACAAAGAAACAAAAACACAAAGAAAAGAAAGAAAAAAAAGTTACAAATAGAAATCAATTTGAGAGCCCAAAGGAGTTTGCTTGATGATCAAATATACATACCATGGCTTTGGTGAGCAAGGCAAGAAGAGCAAGAAGGACTTGAAGTTTTAAAAATGAAATTCTGAGATGAAACAGAGGCGAGGTATTGAGATTGGGGTTGGGGTGACTGGTGATTTGGTGAGGATCTCTAGCTGCCAATCTCCAGCAAACATTCAAACCTACCCGTCCATATTCTGAAACTTTTACAAGAAAATATTGGCCAATAGGTGCATTCAATTAAGGTCGCGCGCTATTGGCCAAAAACCCTACTTTCTCTCTGTGTTTTTTCAATCAAAACAAAACCCAACTTTTCTTTTTCTGTTCATCTTTTTACAAAAAATCATCAGAGAATTGAGATTTCAACCAACTTCGAGCAGTTTTGTTTTCTTGAACTCAGCTAATTAAAGTGACACAGAAACTTGTACAACTTTGAAATCAATGGGAAATGTTTTTTTTCATCCCCATCTAATAATCTAAAATCCGAATGGGACCAACAACATGTACTTTCCAAAAAAATTCAGACTCTGATCTGACGCCAAGAATACGAGAAGGATTCTGTGTCATTGACCGTTTGGCAGCTTAGAAAATACCTTTACGTTGCGGTCTATAGGGGTAATATACGAGTATGTCTGCCAGTTCAATGTAATCTAAATCGGTTGTATACACAATGATTGACAATATGACTGATTACAAAGACGAGATTATATATTTTATACAAGTGATATTGGGAGAACGAAAATTCGACATATTGGAAATATATTGTTGGACATTTGAGTCTAAAACATCTATAAACCGGGAAATTCCTACCCGAAACTCCTCTTGGCAACATATTTTTCCCACCACTCTTATGGCAATGAGAACGTACAGTTTTTGTTTTATTTTATTTGGACTTACTGGGAAACTGAATGAGCATAATTCAACTAGAGGGGAACATCTAGATTGGGAAAGACGCGTCAAGATCATTGAAGGGATTGCACAAGGACTTCTCTATCTTCACAAGTATTCTAGACTGAGAATCATACACAGAGATCTGAAAGCTAGTAACATTTTGCTTGATGAAAAAATGAATCCGAAGATATCAGATTTTGGAATGGCCAGAATTTTCGGACAATACAAGAAGAGTTGTAGGAACATAGGAAGTACAGAAAAAATATTTTCACAGTGATGTTTTCCAAACAGCAGTGTAACATTTATATATGCACTTGCTTCTTTTTTTTTTTTTTTTTTCCCAAGTATGAATGCTCTCTAAGGTTTACAATTATGCAGCGTAATATGTCTCCAAAGTATGCCATGAAAGACATTTTCTCCAAGAAGTCCGATGTTTACAGCTTCGGAGTTTTACTGCTGGAGTTTTTGAGTGGCAAAAAGAACACCGTTTTCCTTTCATCTACTACTCTCAGCCTTATTGAACTTGTAAGTAACAAAGATAGACAGATCAAAACAGGCATTCAATTTCAATTTTCAACTAGAGCAGAAAGACTCATACACTGCATCAAAACTTAAATGATTTACAGGCCTGGGAATTGTGGAAACAAGGTGACAGTGTAGAGCTAAGGGACAACTCAATGGCCTCATGCCCAAAAGAAGAAGTTTCAAAATTTATTCATGTTGGCCTCCTGTGTGTGCAAGAGCATGCTGCAGATAGACCTACCATTTCAGAAGTCATATCCATGCTTGCGAGTGATATCATGTTTTTGCCTGATCCAAAACAACCTGCATATTATTTTTCGAGAAATGAAGTTTGGCCATCACCACCATATGGAAAGCTTCATATGGGTTCAGTAAATTGTGTACCCATAACTGTAATGGAAGCTAGATAAATAAAAGATACTAGTTTCATTTTTCATCAGATATTAGTAAGAATTGGGGTTACTACATTGATTTTTCTTTGCCCTTTATACAAGCGATATTGAGAGAGGGAGAATCGAACCTAGCACATCAAGTGCATGGGTAATACTCTTATCAATTGAGCTACAAGTCCCATGTAGGCGAACATCCTTTTGACAGTGGCGGTCCATGAAGGAAATTCAAATTACAGTTAGAAGTATGCCTACGAAATTAAGATGACTAATTAGTAGGGGCCCGGTTCATGACTTTAATGGCTATCACAAGAACCTTCCACTATGACTCGCATAATTTTTTCAGAGCCATCCTTGCAGTTTTTAAAGAACAAGTCAATAAAATACTGAGGTCAACGGTCCAAGAGTCACCAATTTTGGACACAAGTCTACCCCCACACGTATAACAACAGTGCAAGTAATTACTAATTTACTTGTATTTGTTAAATCAAGAAAAGTCGGGGGGAGAGAAGTCTTCCATAGAGGCTCATTTCAAGTTACAAACACTTCTGTGAGAGAACAGAGATCATTTACACAAAACATTTAGCAGATGGCTAAACTGAGAAGCCTTGTGCTTCTCTTTTTCTCATGTTTCTTCATGCGGTATATTTGTTCTTCTTATGCAGAAACAGTGATATATACCCTCAAGCAAGGCGAACAGCTCCGGGACCAGGACACCGATCATCTCGTCTCTCAACATGGCCACTTCAAGTTAGGCTTCTTCAGTCCTGGTGCTTCAAGTAACCTCGGCATTACCAGTAACCGTTTCTTGGGAATATGGTACAGCAAACTACCAGATCATCCAGATGCAGTGTGGGTGGCCAACCCAGAAACTCCGGTTGTCGATTCATCTGGAGTATTTACATTAGATAGTGATGGAAAATTGAAGATCATACATGGTGGAGGGCAGATTATTATATCAGATCCCAATCAAACAGTTTCTGGTAATGTGACTGCCTATTTGATGGATACTGGAAATTTTATCCTAAGAGAAGTAACATCAGATGGAATGCCTGCAAACATTCTATGGGAAAGTTTTGATTATCCATCCAACACATTGTTACCTGGAATGAAGTTAGGCATGAACCTTAAGACTGGACATAATCGAACACTTTCTTCATGGTTCAGTTATCAATCCCCGGTGTCTGGTGCGTTCAGGCTTGGCGTGGACCCCAGTCGCACCAACCAATTGATCATCTGGCGGCGAGAGGTTGTATACTGGACCAGCGGGATCTGGGAGAATGGAAGTTTTCCAAAGGCCCCTGAACTGACAACAAGGACTGATTTATTTGATTTCACTTTTGTATCAAATGAAGAAGAAAAGTACTTCACTTACTCTGTTAAAAACAACTCTACTCTTTCAAGATGGGAACTGAATACTTGGGGCCAACTCTTGCAGTCAATTTTGGCCCCAAACGGTACTACTTGGGAAACCACCGTTACAAGTCCATGCAAGTTCAACCCGTATTACCCAGATGCAGTGTGCATAGAGCAGAAGCCCACTGAATGCAGGAATGGATCTGAGCTACTTGTGCCAACAAGAGGCTACTTAAATGATGCTCAATTTACACATCAGGATAATAATACTAACTTAGATCTTAGCGACTGTCACGCTACTTGCTGGAGTGATTGCACCTGTATCGGCTACCAAAATATACATACCAATGGATCTGGATGCCTGTTTTTCAAAAAGGGAGCACATTTTGTCCAGAATGATTACTTTGGAGTCAATTATCTCATTATCATAGCGAATAACAGCAGAGGTATGTACGGCCTAAACCAATACTGAGTTTATCTTATGCATCTCCTGATTCTTACATCCTTTCTATATCTTTTGAGCTTTCTCAGAAGTTAGAAATATGCTTGAAACTGATAAATAAGAAAATTAAGTAATGGTGGGTTTGTGCTATTTGATACCATGATACAAAACACTGCAATGCAACGATTATGTCTGGCATTGTTTTGAATAAGAACAAACAGTTAGAATTAGCTACAGCTCTCAACCACTTAATACTTGAAACTAATTTTGTGGTTGGTGTAGATGGAACGCCTACCGAAAAAGGAAGTACACAGAAGAAATGGTGGATATGGTGTATCGTAGGTATTATACTTGCTATGGCAGTGCTACTTTTAGGCTATTGCTGCTACACAAGGAAAAGAAAACTTGCAGTCGTGCAACAAACTGGTAAGCTGAAACGATAAAAGTTTTTGTTTCTGTTAATTTATAAATTGCAAGTGCAAGTACATTATATACTATTGAAATTATCGGAATGCAGACAAGGTGGAAACAAGCCAAGAGCAAGGACTACTTGAGTTGGGATCTCAAATTAGAGGATTTCGTGACATATTCAAGCTCAAAACAGGCAAAGGGAGAGGGCAGGAGTTTAAGATGCTCAGCTTTTCTGAAATACTGGCTGCAACAGATGACTTCTCATTTGCCAGAAAGCTAGGAGAGGGTGGTTTTGGACCAGTCTACAAGGTAAAATTTAAGTTTATCTGGAAATTTAAAAAATTAAAAATAAAACAATGATTATCTGGGAAATTGATACCTGACACTGAAAAATGATGTAGGGTGTATTACCAGATGGGCAACAGGTGGCAGTAAAGAGACTTGCAAGACATTCAGGACAAGGAATAGAAGAATTCATGAATGAGATTACACTTATAGCTGAACTTCAACATAGTAATCTTGTTCGGCTTTTGGGTTGTTGCATTCAAGGAGAAGAGAAGATTCTGATATACGAATACCTGACAAATACAAGCTTAGATGCCTTCCTCTTTGGTTTGTCCATAATTCCCTTTCAAATCCATACACTCCCCTCTTCCCCCTGATCTTTAACCCTACAAATCTGCTTAATCTGGCATCTTATATTTGATTATTATGTTGACCACTACACACCACTTTAACTGCAGATTCCACTAGAGTGAATCTTTTAGATTGGCAGAGACGCATCAACATCATCGAAGGGATTGCACAAGGACTTCTTTATCTTCATAAGTATTCTAGAGTCAGAGTCATACACAGAGATCTGAAGACTAGCAACATTTTACTTGATGAAAACATGAACCCTAAGATATCAGATTTTGGAATGGCCAGAATTTTCGGACAGAATGAGTCCAGAGCAAATACGAATAGAGTTGTAGGAACATAGTAAGTACCAAAAAAGAAATCATAGTAATGTCTTCCAAACGACACTTTGACATTTATCTTTACTTTTGCAAAATATGAATGTTCCCTAACTTGTAATGATTTTATGCAGTGGCTATATGTCTCCAGAATATGCCATGAATGGCATTTTCTCTGAGAAGTCCGATGTATACAGCTTCGGAGTTGTACTGCTGGAGATTGTGAGCGGCCAAAAGAACACTGTTTTTGTTTCATCCACTGCTCTCAGCCTTATCGAACTAGTAAGTTATAAAGAAGAGCAAAATGGAATTTAATTTCCATTAGACAGAAAGATACCCTAATCCTAATGTGATTTAACACTCATGTGGTTCATCAAAACTCTAATGATTGCAG